CTAAGGGTGCAGCTCTTTGTGCTTCACATTTCTGGCCAGTTCACGCAAAGGAATACCCTGAACCACAGGTCAGATAAAAGAAGAAATCAAAGACATCACACCATGTTCAAATGGGAAGAAGTGCATGGGAGAATTGGGAACAACAAGTTCAGTTCAGGCCCAGGGGCCACTTCCCCAAGGTGTGGAGACACGCCAGAGTATATGGGGTCAAGCACTCAAAATTACATTGTGATAGTCGACTTTCCGATCAAGGACAACCCTGCAGTTCCCTGATCAGTTCTCTAGCTCAGAAGACAACTGGGGACAACAGGTTACAGTCTCTGTACCCACACTCATTCTGAATTCCCCTGGTCTGTTCTGCCACCTCTTCCCTATAAGTGTCCCCCTCCTCTGCTTCTGTGAAATAAGCTAAAGATCCTGTGCTTCCTTGGCTGATAGGGTGCAGTTCAACAACAACAGACGCCTTCTTTCTACCTTCTCTCATCCTCACGACTCTTCTCTAGAGCTAACCAGTAGACCTGGCATCCTAGCAAGAAATGGGGGCTTCTCTGGAGACCCTAAAGCAAGGACCCTGAACATAACTGCTCACAAAAGGACAAAGTCATTGCCAACAACCGATCTGCCCAGGCTGCCTGCAGGATCCTAGGACACCACAATCTTCCAGACATGTTCCTGGCTACCATCAGGGCCAGTCTTGTGATCTCGTGTCCTCCCTGCTGCGTTATTTGAGAAACTTTCTTTCTGCCAGCATTGGGCCAGATGCCCTGGACATCAGTGACCAAGAACAGGCTTCAAAAGGCTAAGTGGAAGGTGACCATCTTCAAAGGGCCCTCAGACTTCCCAGAAAGCTCTGGCACACAGCCCTGACCCCAGGTCAGTGCTTCCTGCAAATGAACTGCTGATGGCTCCATGAGGGCAGGGACCATATCAGTCTGGCTGCTGGCTGTATCCCTGACAACCCCTCACAAGGGGCAGGAAGACAGGCAGCATGCAAACCTGTTCTGCCAAATTAACATACAATGAACACTACCACGAAGGGAACAAAATCACAGGTTTCCGAGCCTAAGTTCTGGAGTCAGACAGACTTGAATTTGAAACCTTCCAGCTATACCATTTATGCAGATAACATGTCAGGCATTATATACATCTACAAAATGGGGATCACCCTGCCTACCTCAAAACAAGCTCATGAGCACTACTGCAGGGAAACTGTATATAAAGCCTTTACTCCAGCTCATAGATGGCAAGAGCTTCTTTGTTTTTAGCCTATATGCACTCACGTATCTCTCACTGTATGCCAAACACTATATTCCAGATCACAATTAGCTCATTTAATTCTGATAACCCTGTAAAGCAGGCTCTATTTAAATCCCTTTTGCAGCTGAGGAAATAAAGGCACAAAAAGGGATAGCAACCCGCCCAGAGTCTGGTATCTAGATGTGGTTGGGTCAGGACTTAACAAATCCAAAGTCCAAAATTCTAAGTGACACAATTTTCTGTCTCTAAAACAAACAGTCAATGAAAGTTAGCTCTTATCCCAACCCTGGTCTGACTACGGGAGATATCTGACAATGTTGCCAGGCTAGAATTTTTAGCTGCAACAGAAATACATCCAGCCATTCCTAGGGTTCACTAACTTGTCATTTCAAACTATGCTCCTAAGAAATACAGTTCCAGACAATTGTGTGGATCAATTCTCTCCTCCTCTTGTTTTCCTGCTATCTCCTCCTCCGACTATCGACCAGAAAAAGACTCATCTATGATTTAAAGAAAAAAAATGTAGTAACAGAAAGGAAACAACAGAGTAAGAGAGAGAGTGAGCTTGTAAGCTCTCAGGAACAAAGCTGAAGAGTGCTCCCCCTTCTTCTAATTACTCATTAGCACATCTGCCTACTCCTAGTAGGGCATCTAGAGCAGAAGTAGCCCGTCCTCGTGGAAACCGGTCCCATGAAGTCTCAGCTTCCCCAAAAACCCAGGTAGCAGAGAATCATTTAAGCCATCTCTTTCAATGGCCAAGACCTCATCATAAAGAGTTTCCTATTTCTCTCTCTGTAAGATCTGCCCAAATGCTAGAGTCACAAGGAAATTTCACTACCAAATTATCAGCACTGCATTTGACCTAGCTCAGGATTAGTGACGTCACAATACACTCTTAGAAATGCTCCGGCATATGGAAATAACCCTCTCGAGTTAATAAACTCCTGGTGTTTCATTAAAAGGCACTAAATTATTTTGATTTTACTCTACAGAATCCAAAGTGCTTTCAGTGTTTTATTTTCAAAATTCGTAGAGGAACAAGTATGCTTCTAGAACCTTAAAAAAGTTCCACACCTGGTCTAGTCCATATCCTGCTTCATGTGTGCTAAGAGGTAGGCCAAGCCAAAAGCCGAGAACAGTAGCTCTGACTCCACAATGCTCTTATGTGGCCAGGGCCTCACAATGCGGCCTGCCTCCCAAGTCGACTGTCTCTCATCCTCAAAGTTACAAGCAGGTCACAGGCAGCTCCTGAGACATGGGGCAGTTCCTCCATTTTTCCATAGCCCTACTAATTAACCAGCATGTTCCCCTTCCAAAGGAACAGTCAAAGCAAAGCTCCTCTCGGTGGGCCACAGAAAGGGAATTGAGGGTAATGCTTTCTCTCCAAGGCAGCTACTTGGAGATAGAGGTGGCCTCTGGGCCACTGCAGCAAATGCATTTCCTGCACTCCAAAGGAAATTCACAAGGCATTCTGCTTCACAAGGCATTCTGCTTCCGAGCACTGGGAAAGTTGAAAGCAGGGAGGCTACCAACACAGCCAGTGAGGTAACACTGACTCCAAGACAAAAATGATTCACACAAGTGAGAACATGTGCTCTCAGGAAAACTGAGAACTGGTTACCTTGGGCTGAAAGATGGGCTCTCACAAGTAGCACCATCTCTGCGTAGGGACTGATCACAAAGCACAGGCACAGCATCACAAATGCAGAAGTCCAAAGGGCATGTGAGGCCATCTCCTTCAGCCTCTTTTCAAACAGGAAAAAACTTAGACACAGGCTGAAGCTAGGATTCCTCCAGTTCACAGTGGGAGGTGCCTGAAATCCAAAGCTTCCCACAGTCTTTTTTTGTAGCCTGCTGCCTCTGAGACCCCATTACCTACACAAATACTTTTCCAAAAATTATTTTCATATGGAGTTATAGGCAAAATGGTTAAATCAACCCTGAGTGCTACCTGAAAAGCAAAATTAACAGAGAAGAAACTACAACTGGAGCTGAAGAAAATGAACTTCTTTGCTCTCTACTCTGCAAACTTGTTCTTGAAGACAGAGGTGCCTTCCCCAATATCTGACCTGAGAAGTGAGAGGAGGCAGTTATACCCAACCAGGATGTACAAGCCTTGGCCAGCAATCTAGATTAAAACACTTTTTTTTTTTTTTGGTAAAACAAATAGAAGTCATGCAAGGCTGCAAGATTGAAGCCACCTTCACATGAAATCGGCTGCAAAAACCAGCTTTGTCCCAACCTTTCACAGAGTGAGGCTGCATTATCAGGTAGAACAACAAGATCCTGAAAGCAACTGGGCACGCTGAGGAAGGGTAGGAATGAGAGACACAGAGATTAAAGAGGAGGCCCTGAAACTTTCTAACCACAGCAGCATCTGAGACATTTCACTGAGTCCCTTTCACCAGAAGCCAAGATGCTTCTCGGGCCACAACAGACCGCTTGAAAGCACAAAACACACACTGAATGTTTGGGTTCGCGCGCGCTCTCTCCCGTGTGTGTGTGACACTGGCAGGCTCAGACTCCACCACTGCAGAAAGCAAAATTTTCCTTGTTTCCATTACATCAAGCAAGTTGGAGAGAGGAGGGCGGGGCAGGGCACAGCTGGTGGCAGCTGCACCACCATCTGCTCCCTCCTCAGCAGTATGTGCAACTCTGAGCTGCTGCATCTACAGCTCCTGATAGAGGTGGGTCCAGTGTTGAGGGTACAACAGCCCATTGTGGAAAAAGCTTCCAAATTATTTAGAAATAAATCACTCTCGTGGTAAGTTAGAAACCTCAGGAGGGTGGCTGTGCTGGTTCTCTTTGGGTTTAGGCTATTTGTTTGCATCTCTTTTAGACTCAAACTATGTCAACTCAACGTATCCAATTAGACAAGCAGAAGGTACAAGCAACCACCTGCCATCTGCTTCCCAAAAGGTAAGCAAGCGGCCAAAAGTACATGTCCGCAGCTGGCAGCATTCCTGGAAGAGGGGCAACCCAAAGTCCCTCATGGCCTGCTTGGGGGTGTGCTATTGCCTTTGGCCTCCTAAGCTCTCTGGCTAAGCAGTCTTGCCCTGCTTAGGGGCCTTCAGGACACATTATTAGGAATCTCCTTAAATGGGAGGGGCTGGTGAGAGGAGCCTGGGCAGAGGATGTATGCCTCTGCTGACCATTCAGCTGAAAACTGGCAACAAAGCAGCAAATTGGTGATTCAAAGTTCTGATCCAGCCCATGTGCATGTTTTATCTGGCTGGTACAAGGTTGCACTTAAAAAAAAAAAAATCACTGGCTCTTAAAGTGAGATTTCATATATAAACATCTAGATTGCTAGCTATTCTTAGAGGAAAAAAAGAGAAAAGAAGTCGAAGATCTGGCAGCACCGGCCCCATTGGCATGTGGTGCCAGTCAGCTAAGGGGGTGCACTCTGTCCGGCTCTGGCGTGCACTTGGTGGCACTAATCACCATGCCTGGTGTCTGCATAAGTCAGTGCAACTCTCTAGGTCCCTACCTGGACCTTGAGAGCTTTTGATATAATGCTGTTCGGTGTATAAAAGGAGAAGCTCCCAGAGAATGATTTCCCAGTGGTCCTTTATTGATTCTCTTCTTCAGCTGAGATTTAGTCCCCAGGATGGACAAATGAAGTTCTACAGAGATCATTCAACCCAGTACCTAAACGGATCTCTAGAAAAGACTTAGCTAGACCGGAGCCAGAACTACCAAAGCAGATATGGCGTTTCTAAGGAGCATTCCAGACCACTTACCATACATCTTGCCTTCGTCCGACAAGATGATTTTCCTCCTCCCACATGGCGGATAGATAGCCAAGGCTTCCTGAAAGCTCTGCTCGATGTCGGGGCTCCAGACCCCCTCTGCATCGTTGTCAATTGGCTTATCTGCAGAGTCACTCATCCTTTCCATATTTTCGGCAGGGCTCTCGCTGCCGCTCCAGCTGCTGGGCTCAATTTTGGCGGTTGGATTTTCCAAGCCGAAGCCTGGAGTCTTTTCAAGAAAATAAACCTAAGAGAGAAAGAAAAGGGCAATAAGGATGCGGTAACCACCTACAGATGCAGTGGCTAGTGCCAGGCACTTTCTCCAGTCACCAGTTTTGCTTGGAGAATAACTCTTAGTGGAAAATACAGAATTCTGAGATCCAAGATGCTTTTGTTCTTGATGTACCATGTTCGGCACCCATACAGAAGCACAAGGGCAGGCAGAAGCTGGATAATCTTCGCAGCTGAGAGAAAATTTTCATCTGAGTACGGTGCTCGCTCCAAGTTGTAAATTCACAGTGAAATCATGCAAAAACATGTACTAAGTGCCTATCTACCAGGAGCACTCTGCTCAAGCATAATCAATCTCCATAGCAGAACAGGTTGTTTAAAAGAAAATAAAGTAAAACAAGAGGTCCGCCTCCCTGTGGCAACTGGCATAAATCTGAAATGTCAAACCATCTCAGTATTTGTCACTGATATCAGCAAGATGCAAGATGGTGGCATGAGACAGGCAGGAAGAAGGGAGATCATTTGTTACCGCAAATACTCAGTCCACTTGACTAGCAACGCCAATAGCTGCTATTCTATAGCATTTCTCTGCAGACCTTTTACCCTTAGGTCATATTAGCACTTTAGGCTTCTAGATCATAACCCTGAGCAGAAACCAAATTGTCCCCATTCCCTCCTCCCTTGCAACAACAAGTCTGTAAACTGTCTGCAGAGATGGTCTACACCTACTCGAGTCTATTCATCTGGTAGCCTACTCAGAATTCCTGATAGCATAAAAATGGAGAGCCTTTCACTTATTTTTCTGTAGCAATGAAGATTACAGAGGCAAAAGGAGTCTTTCTCAAAGATTTATCCCCCTTAAATTATGCACATAACCTATAGCCATGAAGAGAGAAGCTTTCCAACAAATGTCAAACTGGCACAAACACCAATGTGAAAATGATCTAATCTAGTACCTCCTGCTGTCTGCACACTAACATATCAATATTCCTTTGTTGAAAAGGCATCAGATCATTAATTCAAAGGCTTCTCCCAAAAGGGAAGAATTGCTCCTGGGGATTGATCGAAAAGTGGGAAGCAACAGGGTCTGAGTAGGGAGAGCTTAGTGTGACCAGCATCCCCACCCCCTTCTGCCCTCTGCAACATTACAAGAGAAGCACCCCAGGGAGGGAAGCAGATGCTGGGGGCCTCCAGGCACTGCTCTATATATCCCAGCGCTCTCACGGTGAGTCAAGCAAGGCTTCTCTTCTCCCACCTGTATCCCTTTCCCTCCATCACCGGGCATGGCATCAGATCCCAGGTGCAGGAACTGGGAGTGCATAAACATTACACAATTAAGGGCATAACTAGTGGGTGCTTCTGGCATCTCACCCACACAGCTTTTTAGATTTGACAGCACCTGGATGAAAGAAACCCTCAGGTTGTGAGCCTTTAAGTGCTGCCACCAAGCATTCAAAGAACCATCAGGAAAATATTTACTACTCCTTACCAACAATTGTACATTTACATAGCATGTTAAAAACTGCCAAATGTTAAGGTATAAATCATGCCACAAGAGGGGTCTGCAACTGACCCCCCACATGAACTAAACAATGCCACAAGTGTAGGCCTTTTGAATTCTCATATTTTTTGTTGTTCCGGTCTCACAATCTTATAAAAACTCAAGCTGAACTGTAACTCTATATACTAGAGTCTGTACTAGCTCTAGAGCAGTTTACTGGAGAAATCAGAGAATTCTTCAAGCAGGGGCTAATTTCACCTTTTCCCTCTCCACCTTACTCAAAATAAAACAAAGAAAAAACAACACACACAAAAACAAAGCTCTGTCCTTCAGTTCTGGAGGCTCTCAGCATTAAGAATTCACTCCAGGGAGCCACATTTTAAGATAAACAATGGAATCGTCCAGCACTCAGCCTGTAAGGTAGAGGGAAAGTATCCAGCAGGATGGGATTAGATGGGTCTGCAGCAGGGACCTTTATTTGCCTAAAAGGAACATTACTAAAGAAAGTCTCAGTTTCCAGGTTAAGACACACCAGCACCCTCTTCATCCAATGTGCGAAATCCCCTCTGACACTTAGCATGGGTCCTGCAGTCTTTGCTTGAACATAGCCAGCAGTAGGGAACCCAGCACACTTCCTTAGCAGTACGTCCTTCACACGGACATGTTGAACTTCTTCCATGTATTAGACTCACGGACATGTTGAACTTCTTCCATGTATTAGACTCACGGACATGTTGAACTTCTTCCATGTATTAGCCTAAAACTCATCTCCTGGCTAACTGCTCCCCATCCATCCCTTGGCGGTCTACACATCCAGTGGGAAAGCAAATCTCCCCCAGAGACACCCACTGAGGTATGCAAGGAACAGTTGCCCAGGCTCCTGACTCTGTTCCAGGTGAAACCACATTCATATCATCCCTCTGCCTGTGACACACCCCAGCTTGTCCACAACCCCCCATAAATGGTACTCAGTGGTAGACTTATGAGGCATAAAACCACTATGCTTCTATTCTTCCTCGAATTCCTCTCATACAAATGGCTTAGGAGTTAAAAGTCGGAATTTATATTTATTTCTATTACATCCTTTATTTTCAGTCTAAGCCTATGATTCAGGGCAGGTTAAGATTTTGGGGATCATAATTGCCAAGTTAGCATCCTTCAGACTAGTCTGAAATACTGTCATATGGAGATAGTATAGACCCATTTAATGGAAGTTCAAAATTGATTCTAGTTAAATAGAAGGAAAAAGCTCCTGCTAGTTGAACATTTAAGCTAGACAGCTCATTCAAGTAATTTCCAAACTAAGTTCCTGGTTGCTGGAGAATACAGTACTGACTAGCATTAACTGACCTACCCACATACTAAGTACAAGCATTGCTCTAAATACTCAAATGTTTTTATTTATTTACTACACAGGGAAGAAATCAGTGTCCAGGCTCTTGCAATTTGGTCAACTGGAGGTCCACAGGATGGAATTACCCTGGACAAAAGCTGAGACACAGTTCCAGAAATTACCAGATACATAATCCACAGAGTTATATAGGCCCTGGGTTTTACAACCCAATTGTAAGATGAGGCCCTGTGTGGGCAGAGGGTTTCCAATCACAAGACAGGAGCTGGATGAACAAAGTCCTCATACTAGATACCAAAATAACCTCTCTGGCATACCACCCATCCCTCAGGTCCTTTCAAGGCCAGCTCAAAATACACCTCACTCTGGAAATCATTCTTTTACTTAGAGACTCTGAGAGGATACCCACATTATGCACTACCCAACCTACCTGGCTTCTAGATGTACCGCAACAGCCCCTACTTATTACCAACAGAAATCTGTGTCTGCAGATTGATATTCTCACCTCCTCACCAATCCTTTGAGCAAAGACTTACCTTCCTCTCAGTTCAATAAATGAAGACCCCTACTGTTTGGAGGATAGGGAAGGAAGGCATGGTACTCAGTGTCAAACTGATTTGTTTCCCTAATCTGGTTCACCCGTGAGCAATTGGCCTAGACTAAATTAGGCAAACTTTATTTGTAAATTAGAAATAATAAATTATACTTAAACCCTTTTTTTTTTTTTTTAAATCACCAAGGGGCCCTCCCTGATGGCGCAGCGGGTTAAAGCACTGCACTGAGAAACTAAAGCACTTCCGCATGAGTTCGATCCCTGCCTGCCCTGGAGGTGACCACATGGCGTGGCAGACCTCTCCTGACCTGCCCGCTGCTCCCCTCAGCAGTGTACTTCATCGATCTGCCTGTTCTGCTTCCCGCTCTGTCTCTGGTGAATCCTCTCACCCTCCGCATCTCTGGCCTGTACCCCAGTTCTATATGAATAAATAAATCTTTTAAAAAAAAAAATCACCAAGGGATGGAAGACTACCCCACAGGGTTGTCACAACAAATGAAGGTGAATAAAGGTGTAAAACCAAGAACAGGTGTTTACCTGTTTCAAGACCATCATCTCTGTACAGTGATATTACTTTGTGTTGATGAGATGGTGAAGAAACAGAGGAGCTTCCAGCAGTTCCCTTTTCAGAAGTAAATTTACACAATTTACCCCAGGTCCTCTCTTCCTTAACGTTTTCAAGGACTAAGTGGAAATGTTAAGCTGGCAATAAATACTTCTGTTTCTAACATTCATCTAAAATCTGGACTTAAATTCACTAGCATTCAATAGTTTTCATATTCTTCTGGGAAGTCTGATTCAAGGGAATAATGCTAAATATAAATGAATATCTAAAAGGAGAGAGAAAAGAATCCCTGCTGGTTGAACATATACTGTGTACCATGAAACCCTGGGTGCCTCAGTTGCCATCATTAACACTTTCCTAAAAGTACTTTTCCTGAAATTCCCCAACCACACTCGAACAAACTCTACAAGAAATGTCACCAGTGACCCAGGAATTTCTGCAAATTGCTTCAACACTCACACTCCCTAAATGGGCTATACTTTCATAATTACCCACTGATGCTTCAAGGAGGGCCAAATGAGTACACTGGAATGGCATCATCTGTATACTCAAATATACATATTTTAATATAAAAGCCTGGGTGGAAAGTGAGTGAGCTAGTCAAATGCAGATGCCTCTGACACCAAGTCTGTTCAAGAACAATGATGCTGTATGACACAGGACATGGAAATGTGTTACTTCCTTCACCTTAATTCTTGTGGGTCTCTCATAAGTAGCTCACCTACTTATATAGGTGATTGAAGAGCTCTTAAATAAAGGGCTAATTGTAACTAATCTTCACAATTAACGCAATACCACTGAACATGGGGGTCACCAAAAAAAAATCCATATAGCTTGTTTTAGACAATTTTTATGAGGCTATAGAAATAAGAGCTAATCTAGGAATTAGAAATCTGTCTCTCACTTGAGTAACACAGAACCACATGGTGCTTGTAGCCCCCCAGGTGTATCGGCTTCCATCACTGAAGGTGGCCAACTTAGTATCTCATCTCCATGTGTTCTCACAGTCTTTACTGAAA